ACACACAAACACACTTCCCAGACCTGTTCTCCCGGAGGCCACAGCGATCAATAGGTTCTCTAGAACCACCGCCTGCCCTACTGCAGAATCCTCACCAGCTAGAATCCAAACCACCAATCTCTCTCTCCAGCCTTAAGTGCCTATAAGATGTGGCGCTCCAACATATTCATCATACTTCTGTTCTGAAATTTATTTAGAATAATGTCAACTCGTCATAATTGTGCAGGTAAAAAAAATGCACACAATAACCTCCCATTATTGTAACGGTGAGGTTAGTATGTCTTGGGGGGGGGTATGATATTTGTGCGTCTAACTTTTCTCACTCCTCATTATTCACGAACAATATTGTTGACAATTTTAGTGTTTAATTCTTAGTCGATGGAACGATAACCTTTTTTGTTGTTGTTGTTTGTAAATGCCTCCTTTGGAACACTTCTTTTGAATTACTGACATCTGAAGATACAAGACATCAGAAACGTCAGTGAGAAATAACGTGACGCATGCTGCTTCCTTTCAAGAGGTTAAACCGTTTCGTGATCGTGATCTCTGTGTGACTGTGGCTACAAGTCAGATGTTGATGTGCAGGATGAGGACTCATTTTCTGTTACAGATTGCACGATCGAGGTCTAGGACAAATCAACTGAATAGCCAATCACTATTCATAAGCAGTTCAGTAGAGGACTGATGTTTGGTAGATAGCCATAGACATCTCTATGGGTGCAGTAATAAGGTTATTTGGTTTTGGTTTGATCCTGCTATTAAAAAATCCAGAACTAATTTGTCCAAACCCGGCAGTAGAGATATTTAACAGCTTATCGAAATTGAGATCAGACAGCGTTCAGAATGTCTTCATTTGAAAAGCGTGCTTCCTATTTTACAGGACTGCATAATTTGTGTTGCTGTTGCCTTATCTAACCAGGAAATGTATAATCTCTTTTACAAGAGCTTTTCTTGTGCATTTCCATAACAAAATTGAATGAGACATGAATTCATATCCAATTCATACCCACTTGGTGCATTAATGTGTAATGTGTTTCAGGATTTCATTGTACCACTGTGTACTATAGCGACTGTTTGTAGTAATAAATTGTCTGCTAGTAAAGCAATAGGAGCCAGCCTCCATAGGCCAATACTTTCATCATCTATTCACTGTTGCACAAATATCCAGATGTAAAGGACTGTTCTGTAGCCAACAGCTGGAGTTGGAGGTGGAGAAATGTATTGTAATGGGATGCGTCTAGATACACTTCAAATCAGCGCCCTGCCTCCTTGTTCCACCATGGTGCGGTGTCTAAAACCTTGTGCCTGAGTCAAAGCTATTCGCTGCTCTGGGCACCCCAATGGTGGAACAAGCTCCCCTCACGACGCCAGGACAGCGGAGTCACTGACCACCTTCCGGAGACACTTGAAACCCTACCTCTTTAAGGAATACCTGGAATAGTATAACAGTAATCCTTCTACCCCCCCTTTACTACCACTGTCTTTTGTCTAAACTAACACCTGACTTATTTCACCTGCTAGCACTGACTTGTTTAAAGAAATGTACTTATTGTGATCGAGATGTAGTTGTCCCTGATTGCGCTGACTTTGCTCACAGCTGCTTGTTTGAAGAAGTGTACTTACTGTGATCAAGATGTGGTTGTCTCACTGGCTATCCTAATTTGAATGCACCAATTTGTAAGTCGTCTCTGGATAAGAGCGTCTGCTAAATGACTTAAATGTAAATGAATCACACTTTATGCATCCCAAATGGCACCCTATTCCCTACATAGTGCACTACTTTTGGCCAGAGCCTTACGGGGTATAGGGTGCCATTTGGGGTGAAGACCCTGTCTGACTGGACCATTGTTGTTCAGTGGGGTCCTCGAGTATCTTGTTGATTTCATATTCCTCTTCTTACCAGCTGTCTTCACTTAGCTCTTCACAAGAAAAGGGCCCATGAATGGAAAGGGAAATGAACATAGCAAACCAATTTCCTCACTCTCAAAACAAACGGGGACTACCTCCTTTCACGTCATTTAGCAGACGCTCTTATCCAGAGCGACTTACAGTTAGTGAATACATACATATTTTTTATTTTTTTTATACTGGCCCCCCCGTGGGAAACGAACCCACAACCCTGGCGTTGCAAACGCCATGCTCTATCAACTGAGCTACATCCCCTGCCGGCCATTCCCTCCCTTACCCTGGACGACGCTGGGCCAATTGTGCGCCGCCCCATGAGTCTCCCGGTCGCGGCAGAGCCTGGATTCGAACCAGGATCTCTAGTGGCACAGTTAGCACTGCGATGCAGTGCCTTAGACCACTGCGCCACTCAGGAGTACATGACAGACACGTATTGCATTTCCTGTTGGAACAGAATGTTTTGGTCCAATCTGTACAGAAAACTACCCTAGCAAGCGGTTGGTGATCGTAACCGCACAGACTCATTGGGTTATTTTGGTGTACATAAAGTGAGGCCGTAGATGTGTTTGTGAGAGGAGGAAGCCTCAATGCAGTCACCTGATTCATACTGCTACTAACTACAGATGGGTCCCCCTGAGGGACAGTTGAGGTCCACTGATCAGCCACTAATCACATCCTCAGGACGTCCTGATTCCTCTGACAATGGATCATTAGATGGGTAGGCTTCTCATCCGCCTGGGGACGAGGGCTGGTTAACAACATCATGGAACTACCAGAGCCGTTATGTGATTTTAAGATTCTAATAACTCTGCTGTTGTGAAAGTCATTCACCCCGTCATCAACTTTTCCTAAATAAGTGTTTTTAAAAGAGCTGCTTGGACAGCTGGGAAATAAGGTGCTGTCGTACTGTTGCCCTCCAGCTCTCTCTCTCTCTCGTCGCTCTCTTTCTCTCCCTACTGAGCGAATTGGAGTCTCATGATCTTCATGTCTAAATATAATCCACGGGTCAGTGAGGCAAACAGACAGACCAATACGCACAACAGGAAGAGGACAGGACTGGGCCACTAGAGCTAAACTAAAGGACCTCCTCTTTGGGGACCTAAAGGCCATTTGGGATCTGATTACTTTGTTTTCCACTAATAATATGGTCATTTGACTAACAGTGTCATCCAGTGTCATCCCAGTGTCATCCAAAGCAACTTGCGGTTAACACATTATGTGCGTGGTACCTTCTGGGATCCAATTGATCACTCTACATAACTACTCTACAGAACCACTCCACAGAACTACTCCTGTGGGGGGAGGGTGGGGGTGGGGGAACACACTGTACAGTCAGTAGCAGTGTCTCTGCTTTCCCATCCACAGTCAGTAGCAGTGTCTCTGCTTTCCCATCCACAGTCAGTAGCAGTGTCTCTGCTTTCCCATCCAACCAGAGGAGCGCCTGATGCCTCATGGGGATGAGATCATGTGCCACCCCTTCTGAGAGAGATCACATCGGATAGCATAGCACATAAAACACACACACACACACACACACACACACACACACACACACACACATACACAAGGTTTCCCCCGATACGCCCTCTCTACCCACCCAGTGACTGGTGCTCCCAGGCTCTTTCCCAGAAGGCCACAGTCTAACATCTAACCTCTGACACATAGCATAATATATATATATATATATATATATATTAAAAAGATCAAGAAAGGAGATAGAAGGGATATATAATAGAATGGTCGAGACGCGGCTTGAAAACCGGAGGGCTACAACTAGTCTAGAGATCTGGCACATCATTACTGTGTTGAAGTCTAAAGGAATGTCTGGACCAGAGATCTGGCACATCATTACTGTGTTGAAGTCTAAAGGAATGTCTGGACCAGAGATCTGGCACATCATTACTGTGTTGAAGTCTAAAGGAATGTCTGGACCAGAGATCTGGCACATCATTACTGTGTTGAAGTCTGAAGGAATGTCTGGACCAGAGATCTGGCACATTATTACTGTGTTGAAGTCTGAAGGAATGTCTAGTCCAGAGATCTGGCACATTATTACTGTGTTGAAGTCTGAAGGAATGTCTAGTCCAGAGATCTGGCACATTATTACTGTGTTGAAGTCTGAAGGAATGTCTAGTCCAGAGATCTGGCACATCATTACTGTGTTGAAGTCTGAAGGAATGTCTAGTCCAGAGATCTGGCACATTATTACTGTGTTGAAGTCTGAAGGAATGTCTAGTCCAGAGATCTGGCACATTATTACTGTGTTGAAGTCTGAAGGAATGTCTAGTTCTTTCATAGTGTTGTCTGTTTTATAGTAGCCTACAGCTAAATGAGTTCCCTAGTAACAGGACCAGTAATTCTCAACCTATAGAACCAATCATGTCACAGCCCAGACTGACCTTACAAATTGAATTAGTGTGTGTTTGTGTGTGTGCGTGTTTTAAGGAGACAAAATTAGATTTCCATTAGTCAACTCTCACAGAATACCTCCTTCTCATGACATGGATGGTGCTGTTGTTTGTTTGACAAACCTTTACTGACCCCAGGCCAGTTCCCCGTTGTCTGTTTGTTTGTTTCCAACTTGTATGTATGTATGTGTCTTTCAGAGAGGCTGGGATGAAGCCGCTGTCTAACAACCTCCCGAGTGGCACAGTGGTCTAAGGCACTGCATCGCAGTGCTAGCTGTGCCACTAGAGAACCTGGTTCGAATCCAGGCTTTGTTGTAGACAGCCGCGACCGGGAGACTCATGGGGTGGTGCACAATTGGCACAGTGTCGTCCAGGATAGGGGAGGGAATGGCCGGCAGGGATGTAGCTCAGTTGGTAGAGCATGGTGTTTACAACGCCAGGATTGTGGGTTCGATTCCCACGGGGGGCCAGTATGTAATAAAATAAATGAAAAAATAACGTATGCACGTGCTAACTGTAAGTCGCTCTGGATAAGAGCGTATGCTAAATGACTAAAATGTAAATGTAACTTGATGTACTCACCCAGTGACCTTGTGGTTAAAGTGTCTGTCCTGAGATTGGAAAGTTGTTGATTTAATCCCCAGTGTTTGTTTACTCCAGGTTCAGCGCGGTCAGCACGATGACTGATGGGGACTATGATTACCTCATCAAGCTCCTGGCACTGGGGGACTCTGGAGTAGGGAAGACTACGTTTCTCTACAGGTAAACACACAACTACTTCTGCTATAATATAGCATATACAGTTGAAGTCGGAAGCTTAGCCAAATACATTTAAACTCCGTTTTTTTTTTTTTTACAATTCTTGACATTTAATCCTAGTAAAAATTCCCTGTCTTAGGTCTGTTAGGATCACCACTTTATTTTCAGAATGTGAAATGTCAGAATAATAGTAGAGATAATGATTTATTTCAGCTTTTATTTCTTTCATCACATTCCCAGTGGGGTCAGAAGTTTACATACACTCAATTAGTATTTGGTAGCATTGCTTTTAAATTGTTTAACTTGGGTCAAACGTTTCGGGTAGCCTTCCACAAGCTTCCCACAATAAATTGGGTGAATTTCGGCCCATTCCTCCTGACAGAGCTGGTGTAATTGAGTCAGGTTTGTAGGCCTCCTTGCTCGCACACACTTTTTCAGTTCTGCCCACACATTTTCAATAGGATTGAGGTCAGGGCTTTGTGATGGCCACTCCAATACCTTGACTTTGTTGTCCTTAAGCCATTTTGCAACAACTTTGGAAGTATGCTTGCGGTCATTGTCCATTTGGAAGACCCATTTGCTTTAACTTCCTGACTGATGTCTTGAGATGTTGCTTCAATATATCCACATCATTTTCCTTCCTCATGATGCCATCTATTTTGTGAAGTGCACCAGTCCCTCCTGCAGCAAAGCACCCCCACAGCATGATGCTGACACCCCCGTGCTTCACGGTTGGGATTGGTGTTCTTCGACTTGCAAGCGACCCCCTTTTTCCTCCAAACATAACGATGATCATTATGGCCAAACAGTTCTATTTTTGTTTCATCAGAGCAGAGGACATTTCTCTGAAAAGTACGATCTTTGTCCCCATGTGCAGTTGCAAACTGTAGTCTGGCTTTTTTATGGCGGTTTTGGAGCAGTGGCTTCTTCCTTGCTGAGCGGCCTTTCAGGTTATGTCAATATAGGACTTGTTTTACTGTGGAGATACTTTTGTACCTGTTTCCTCCAGCATCTTCACAAGGTGCTGTTGTTCTGGGATTGTTCTGGGATTGATTTGCACTTTTCGCACCAAAGTATGTTAATCTCTAGGAGACAGAACGCGTCTCCTTCCTGAGTGGTATGACGGCTGCGTGGTCCCATGGTGTTTATACTTGCGTACTATTGTTTGTACAGATGAACGTGATACCTTCAGGTGTTTAGAAATTGCTCCCAATGATGAACCAGACTTGTGGAGGTCTACAATTAATTTTCTGAGGTCTTGGCTGATTTCTTTTGATTTTCCCATGATGTCAAGCAAAGAGGCACTGAGTTTGAAGGTAGGCCTTAAAATACATCCACAGGTACACCTCCAATTGACTCAAATTATGTCAATTAGCCTACCAGAACCGTCTACAGCCATGACATCATTTTCTGTAATTTCCCAAGCTGTTTAAAGGCACCGTCAACTTAGTGTATGTAAACTTCTGACCCACCGGAATTGTGATACAGTGAATTATAAGTGAAATAATCTGTCTGTAAACAATTGTTGGGAAAAATGACTTGTGTCATGCACAAAGTAGATGTCCTATCCGACTTGCCAAAACTATAGTTTGTTAACAAGAAATTTGTGGAGTGGTTGAAAAACAAGTTTTAATGACTCCGACCTACGTGTATGTAAACTTCCGACTTCAACTGTATTTATCATGTATTATGGGGGACTCTGGAGTAGGGAACACTACCCTTCTCTATAGGTACACACACAACTAAATAGTTATTAGGGATGTGCATTTTTCCCTTTCAACACGATTCGATACGTACATGGATCTAGATACAGTGGGGAAAAAAAGTATTTAGTCAGCCACCAATTGTGCAAGTTCTCCCACTTAAAAAGATGAGAGAGGCCTGTAATTTTCATCATAGGTACACGTCAACTATGACAGACAAATTGAGAAAAAGAAATCCAGAAAATCACATTGTAGGATTTTTAATGAATTTATTTTGCAAATTATGGTGGAAAATAAGTATTTGGTCACCTACAAACAAGCAAGATTTCTGGCACTCACAGACCTGTAACTTCTTCTTTTAAGAGGCTCCTCTGTCCTCCACTCGTTACCTGTATTAATGGCACCTGTTTGAACTTGTTATCAGTATAAAAGACACCTGTCCACAACCTCAAACAGTCACACTCCAAACTCCACTATGGCCAAGACCAAAGAGCTGTCAAAGGACACCAGAAACAAAATTGTAGACCTGCACCAGGCTGGGAAGACTGAATCTGCAATAGGTAAGCAGCTTGGTTTGAAGAAATCAACTGTGGGAGCAATTATTAGGAAATGGAAGACATACAAGACCACTGATAATCTCCCTCGATCTGGGGCTCCACGCAAGATCTCACCCCGTGGGGTCAAAATGATCGCAAGAACGGTGAGCAAAAATCCCAGAACCACGCAGGGGGACCTAGTGAATGACCTGCAGAGAGCTGGGACCAAAGTAACAAAGCCTACCATCAGTAACACACTACGCCGCCAGGGACTCAAATCCTGCAGTGCCAGACGTGTCCCCCTGCTTAAGCCAGTACATGTCCAGGCCCGTCTGAAGTTTGCTAGAGTGCATTTGGATGATCCAGAAGAGGATTGGGAGAATGTCATATGGTCAGATGAAACCAAAATAGAACTTTTTGGTAAAAACTCAACTCGTCGTGTTTGGAGGACAAAGAATGCTGAGTTGCATCCAAAGAACACCATACCTACTGTGAAGCATGGGGGTGGAAACATCATGCTTTGGGGCTGTTTTTCTGCAAAGGGACCAGGACGACTGATCCGTGTAAAGGAAAGAATGAATGGGGCCATGTATCGTGAGATTTTGAGTGAAAACCTCCTTCCATCAGCAAGGGCATTGAAGATGAAACGTGGCTCGGTCTTTCAGCATGACAATGATCCCAAACACACCGCCCGGGCAACGAAGGAGTGGCTTCGTAAGAAGCATTTCAAGGTCCTGGAGTGGCCTAGCCAGTCTCCAGATTTCAACCCCATAGAAAATCTTTGGAGGGAGTTGAAAGTCTGTGTTGCCCAGCGACAGCTCCAAAACATCACTGCTCTAGAGAAGATCTGCATGGAGGAATGGGCCAAACTACCAGCAACAGTGTGTGAAAACCTTGTGAAGACTTACAGAAAACGTTTGACCTGTGTCATTGCCAACAAATGGTATACAACCAAAGTATTGAGAATCTTTTGTTATTGACCAAATACTTATTTTCCACCATAATTTGCAAATAAATTCATTAAAAATCCTACAATGTGATTTTCTGGATATTTTTTTCTCATTTTGTCTGTCATAGTTGACTGTACCTATACTGAAAATTACAGGCCTCTCTCATCTTTTTAAGTGGGAGAACTTGCACAATTGGTGGCTGACTAAATACTTTTTTTCCCCACTGTACGTGAGCTCCTATACAATACAGGAATGATACTTTTCGTTTGAAACGATTTGGTGCGATTCGGTTTGATTTGAGGAACAAATCGATGCGATACGATTCGATGCACAAACATTTGTTGCATAAACACATTAATCTTCCATTAAAAATACAAATCTGCTGCTGTGTGAATGATGTACTGCGCCTTCAGAAAGCATTCACACCCTTTGACCTATTCTACATTTACAAGGTGGTATTAAAATTGATTTAATTGAAAGTGGAAGAAAAATGTGAACATTTGTAAAAATAAAAATAAAAAAATAAAACACTAATATATTCATTGTCTGTTTTTGTCTTTGTGGTTGAATCTGTGTTTGAAAATTCACTGCTAGACTGAGGGATCTTATAGAGATGAGGTAGTCATTCAAAGATCATGTTAAACACTATTATTGCACACAGAGTGAGTCCATCCAACTTATGTGACTTGTTAAGCACATTTTTTACTCCTGAACTTTAGGCTTGCCATAACAAAGGGATTGAATATTTATTGACTCAAGACATTTCAGCTTTTCATTTTTAATTAATTTGTAAACATTTCTAAAAACATAATTCTACTTTGACATTATGGGGTATTGCGTGTAGGCCAGTGACACAAAATCTAAATGTAATAATTTTTAAATTTAGGCTGTAACACAACAAATAGCGGAAAAAGTCAAGGGGTGGGGAAACTTTCTGAAGGCGCTGTATTACTTCTAGACTTTACCTGCTTCCCAAATGACACCCTGTTCCCTTTATAGTGCACTACTTTTGACCAGAAACCTCTATATTTAGGGAATAGGGTGCCAATTGGGACACAATGCATACGTCTATGGTGTATTGAGCCACAAGGGAAACACTATCAGTTATTATAGTAATACTACTTTCCTCTACAGATACACAGACAACAAGTTGTTTTATCTAGTATGTTATATATATATATATTATTATTATTATATACGACTTTCCTCTACAGATACAGTGCCTTCGGAAAGTATCAGACCCCTTAACTTTTACCAATTTTTTTTTACGTTACAGGCTTATTCTAAAATATATATATTTTTTAATTTCCCTCATCTACACACAATACCCCATAATGACAAATGAAAAACAGGTTTTTATACATTTTAGCAAATTTATAAAAAATTAAAAACTGAAATATCACATTTACATAAGTATTCAGACCCTTTCCTCAGTACTTTGTTGAAGCACCTTTGGCAGCGATTACAGCCTCAAGTCTTCTTGGGTATGACGCTACAAGCTTGGCACACCTGCATTTGGGGAGTTTCTCCCATTCTTCTCTGTAGATCCTCTCAAGCTCTGTCAGGTTGGATGGGGTGCGTCGCTGCACAGCTATTTTCAGGTCTTTCCAGAGATGTTAGATCGGGTTCAAGTCCGGGATCTGACTGGGCCACTGAAGGACATTCAGAGACTTGCGGGAGGATCTTGTCAATGATCTCAAGGCAGCTGGGACCATAGTCACCAAGAAAACAATTGGTAACACACTACGCCATGAAGGACTGAAATCCTGCAGCGCCCACAAGGTCCCCCTGCTCAAGAAAGCACATATACAGGGCCGTCTGAAGTTTGCCAATGAACATCTGAATGATTCAGAGGAGAACTGGGTGAAAGTGTTGTGGTCAGATGAGACCAAAATCGAGCTCTTTGGCATCAACTCAACTCGCCGTGTTTGGAGGAGGAGGAATGCTGCCTATGACCCCAAGAACACCATCCCCACTGTCAAACATGGAGGTGAAAACATTATGCTTTGGGGGTGTTTTTCTGCTAAGGGGACAGGACAACTTCACCGCATCAAAGGGACGATGGACGGGGCCATGTACCGTCAAATCTTGGGTGAGAACCTCCTTCCCTCAGCCAGGGCATTGAAAATGGGTCGTGGATGGGTATTCCAGCATGACAATGACCCAAATCACACGGCCAAGGCAACAAAGGAGTGGCTCAAGAAGAAGCACATTAAGGTCCTGGAGTGGCCTAGCCAGTCTCCAGACCTTAATCCCATAGAAAATCTGTGGAGGGAGCTGAAGGTTCGAGTTGCCAAACTTCAGCCTCAAAACCTTAATGACTTGGAGAAGATCTGCAAAGAGGAGTGGAACAAAATCCCTCCTGAGATGTGTGCAAACCTGGTGGCCAACTACAAGAAACATCTGACCTCTGTGATTGCCAACAAGGGTTTTGCCACCAAGTACTAAGTCATGTTTTGCAGAGGGGTCAAATACTTATTTCCCTCATTAAAATGCAAATACATTTATAAAATTTTTCACAAATGCATTTTTCTGAATTTTTTTGTTATTATTCTGTCTCTCACTGTTCAAATAAACCTACCATTAAAATTATAGACTGATCATGTCTTTGTCAGTGGGCAAACGTACAAAATCAGCAGGGGATCAAATACTTTTTTCCCTCACTGTATATATAAATTACTTAAAAATCATACAATGTGATTTTCTGGATTTTTGTTTTAGATTCCGTCTCTCACAGTTGAAGTGTACCTATGATACAAATTACAGACCTCTACATGCTTTGTAAGTAGGAAAACCTGCAAAATCGGCAGTGTATCAAATACTTGTTCTCCCCACTGTATATAGACACCCCTTCAAATTAGTGGATACGCCTATTTCAGCCACACCCGTTACTGACAGGTGTATAACATCGAGCACACAGCCATGCAATCTCCATAGACAAACATTGGCAGTAGAATGGCCTTACTGAAGAGCTCAGTGACTTTCAACGTGGCACCGTCATAGGATGCCACCTTTCCAACAAGTCAGTTAGTTAAATGTCTGCCCTGCTAGAGCTGCCCCGGTCAACTGTAAGTGCTGTTATTGTGAAGTGGAAAACGTCTAGGAGCAACTACACTCAGCCGCGACGTGGTAGGCCACACAAGCTCACAGAACGGGGCCGCAGAGTGCTGAAGCGCGTAAAAATTGTCTGTCCTCGGTTGCAACACTCACTACCAAGTTCCAAACTGCCTCTGGAAGCAACGTCAGCACAAGAGCTGTTCGTCGGGAGCTTCATGAAAAGTGTTTCCATGGCCGAGAAGCCTCACTAATGGTCTGGGGCTGTTTTTCATGGTTCGAGCTAGGTCCCTTAGTTCCAGTGAAGGAAAATCTTAACGCTACAGCATACGATGCCATTCTAGAAGATTCTGTACTTCCAACTTTGTGGCAACAGTTTGGGGAAGGCCCTTTCCTGTTTCAGCATGACAATGCCCCCGTACACAAAGCGAGGTCCATACAGAAATGGTTTGTCGAGATCGGTGTGGAAGAACTTGACTGGCCTGCACAGAGCCCTGACCTCAACCCCATCGAACACCTTTGGGATGAATTGGAACGCCGACTGCGAGCCAAGGCCTAATCGCCCAACATCAGTGCCCGACCTCACTAATGCTCTTGTGGCTGAATGGAAGCAAGTCCCCGCAGCAATGTTCCAACATCTAGTGGAAAGCCTTCCCAGAAGAGTGGAGGCTGTTATAGCAGCAAAGGGGGGGACCAACTCCATATTAATGCCCATGATTTTGGAATGACATGTTCGACGAGAAGGTGTCCACATACTGTTGGTCATGTAGTGTACATTATTATTGAATTAATACTCCTATCCTCTTCAGGTACACAGACAACAAGTTCAACCCCAAGTTCATCACCACGGTGGGAATAGACTTCAGGGAAAAGAGAGTGGTAAGTACACACACACACACACACACACACACACACACACACACACACACACACACACACACACACACACATCCTCATTCTACTCATCTGTCTCAAAGTGAGCACTTGCACACTCCCGTCATGCATTTAAAAGCATTGGATTGAATGAAGCATTGGCTGTAGACTTTCCACCATTTGTTAAATCCAGGATGTGGAGATTGGAGGGTGAGAATCGGTATGAAGCCAGCGAAGGTATTACCATTTATCCTCCTTCTAAAGACCGTCTCTTTCTCTTCTCTTCATTCATGTCAAGTTGACTTACTGGGCTGGGAAGAGGAGCTGTAAAGTTGAATTAAATGCACTGTTAAGCCATGTGACTGTAGTCCTTTATGACTCCAGTGCTCAGAATGAAGTACAATCTCTCCTGTCAAAGACAGCCAACACTTATCACTGTGACTCTAAACCATGATCTGTGCCACTAGGACCATAAATGAGATGTAAGATGCTGTAAATGTGACAGTGACTTCTGCTTTAGGAGGAAAACAGAAAGCTTACACCTCTTTAAAGTGCTAGGAGACAGTAGAGCAGGGTACGTGTTATAGGTACATTTTCAACCAAAACCTTTCCTCAGTTTTTGGCTTGAGGAAAGAGGTCGTCATCTTCCTGAGGCTCTTCCAGATCTGACCTTTGTGTTCACACTGAAATGAGATCTGTGACCATATGTGAAGCTGGTTAACTCTCTGGCCTCCAGTTAGCAAGTATTTGAATCTACATACTTGAACATCCAGATGTGATGCTTTGATAAAGGACAGAGTCGTGAATAGAGTTCAAATTCCAAGGGAGCTAGGAGGGGCTAGGTACCCACATAACTAAAAAGGGGGAGGGAGGGAGGGAGGGAGGGAGGGAGGGGGAGGGAGGGAGGGGAGGGAGGGAGGGAGGGGGAGGTGAGGGAGGGGAGGGAGGGAGGGAGGGGGAGGTGAGGGAGGGGGGTGAGGGGGGAGGTGAGGGAGGGAGGGGGAGGTGAGGGAGGGAGGGAGGGGGAGGTGAGGGAGGGAGGTGAGGGGGGAGGTGAGGGGGGAGGTGAGGGAGGGAGGGATTGGGAGGTGAGGGAGGGAGGTGAGGTAGAGGGAGGTGAGGGAAAGATGGGGAGGTGAGGGAGGAGGGTGAGGTGAGGGAGGGAGGTGATGGAGGGAGGTGAGGGGGGAGGTGAGGGAGGGGGGGAGGGAGGGAGGGAGGTGAGGGGGAGGGGGAGGTGAGGGATGGAGGGGGAAGTGAGGAAGGGAGGGAGGGAGGTGTGGGAGGGGGAGGTGAGGGAAGGAGGGAGGGGGAGGTGAGGGAGGGGGAGGTGAGGGAAGGAGGGAGGGGGAGGTGAGGGAAGGATGGAGGGGGAGGTGAGGGAAGGATGGAGGGGGAAGTGAGGAAGGGAGGGAGGGAGGTGAGGTAGGGAGGGGTAGGTGAGGGAGGGGAGGTGAGGAAGGAGGGAGGGGGAGGTGAGGAAGGGATGGAGGGGGAGGTGAGGAAGGGACATCCTACCACCTCCTAGAGGGATCCAATCCTACCACCTCCTAGAGGGATCCAATCCTACCACCTCCTAGAGGGATCCAATCCTACCACCTCCTAGAGGGATCCAATCCTACCACCTCCTAGAGGGATCCAATCCTACCACCTCCTAGAGGGATCCAATCCTACCACCTCCTAGAGGGATCCAATCCTACCACCTCCTAGAGGAATCCAATCCTACCACCTCCTAGAGGGATCCAATCCTACCACCTCCTAGAGGTATCCAATCCTACCACCTCCTAGAGGGATCCAATCCTACCACCTCCTAGAGGGATCCAATCCTACCACCTCCTAGAGGGATCCAATCCTACCACCTCCTAGAGGTATCCAATCCTACCACCTCCTAGAGGGATCCAATCCTACCACCTCCTAGAGGGATCCAATCCTACCACCTCCTAGAGGGATCCAATCCTACCACCTCCTAGAGGTATCCAATCCTACCACCTCCTAGAGGGATCCAATCCTACCACCTCCTAGAGGGATCCAATCCTACCACCTCCTAGAGGGATCCAATCCTACCACCTCCTAGAGGGATCCAATCCTACCACCTCCTAGAGGGATCCAATCCTGTGACGCGGGAACAAAGTGGATTATGACACCGTCTGCTGTTTCAGTGATTTGTCCTCTGAGTCTGAGGCTCACCAGGACATCAGATGGTTACTGGCTAGCATTTGCTTTGCCATCCAGGAATACAGTAGCAGGCTACAGCTAGACAATGCTAATATCCACTTGTAATGTCCATGAATACAAAATACATCTATTTACAATGTATGGGAGAACTGTGAAGGATTTTTCTCCCTCACAGTTCTCCCATACAGACACTGTTCGGTTTCTCTGAATCTCCTTCTATTTAATAGGACCCTGTTTTTTATATGTTCACTTGTTGAAATTGTTCCAGGATTTTCTTTGGATTCTGCAGCAAAAGCAATTTTCCTTTCCCAAGATAACTGTTTTATTCTCTGTTGGTAACACCACCTTCAAAACAGGGTTTGCTTTCTGTTTGTTTTAAACCCAGACCCCTGCTCTGGATAGATGGCGTGTAGATAAGGAGTAGTTTAGGCAACTGTCTTAATCGTGTGTGTGTGTGTGTGTGTGTGTGTGTGTGTGTGTGTGTGTTTCAGGTGTACACAACGTCGGGCCCCAATGGAACCACAGGGAAGACCTTTAAAGTTCACCTCCAGCTCTGGGATACGGCTGGACAGGAGAGGTACTGGAGCTGTATAAGGCGTTGTTAATGTTTATTATCAAAAAAGGGGAATGAATATAATTACTGCACCTACATTACTATGCACTGCTCTCCTCTTAGCTCTGCTTTACATTTTAGACAAACCGCTGCTGCAATTGCAGTTTGTAGGTCAGTATTATTATTTATTTTTTTGTCATTTAGCATAAGCTCTTATCCAGAGCGACTTGCAGGAGCAATTAGGGTTAAGTGCCTTGCTCAAGGGCACATCGACAGATTTTTCACCCTAGTCGGCTCAGGGATTAGAACCAGCGACCTTTCAGTTACTGGCACAACGCTCTTAACCAGTAAAGCTACCTGCCGCCCTAAAAACGGACCTTGTTTAACAACGGTGTCTCAAGCTCTCACAACGTGAGATTCTCTCAACGTATCACTCCCCCTTGCATTGTGAGAATGACGCTCGATGTAGTTCCACAAGGCCTTGACAAGCCTTAACAATTAAACATCTTCACAAAGCCTGCCTGTGTTGCTAACGGCTGAGACCCCTCCGTTTGTACGAGACAGAAACCGAAGCGTCTTTTTGATGTGGAAAATAACCCTCTCAGAGAACACAGCATCAAAATGAGACGAACTGAGTTTGCGTCACAAATGGCACCCTATTCCCTATACAGTACACTACTTTTGACCAGATCTCTGTGGGCCCTGGTCAAAAGTAGTGCACTACATAGGGAATAGGGTGTAATTTGGGACACTTGTAGTATGTATTGATGACTCATCAGTGGTATAATATAGTATGTATTGATGACTCATCAGTGTTATAATATAGTATGTATTGATGACTCATCAGTGGTATAATATAGTATGTATTGATGACTCATCAGTGGTATAATATAGTATGTATTGATGACTCATCAGTGGTATAATATAGTATGTATTGATGACTCATCAGTGGTATAATATAGTATGTATTGATGACTCATCAGTGGTATAATATAGTATGTATTGATGACTCATCAGTGGTATAATATAGTATGTATTGATGACTCTTCAGTGGTATAATATAGTATGTATTGATGACTCATCAGTGGTATAATATAGTATGTATTGATGACTCATCAGTGGTATAAAATAGTATGTATTGATGGCTCTTCAGTGGTATAATATAGTATGTATTGATGACTCATCAGTGGTATAATATAGTATGTATTGATGACACATCAGTGGTATAATATAGTATGTATTGATGACTCATCAGTGGTATAATATAGTATGTATTGATGACTCATCAGTGGGATAATATAGTATGTATTGATGACTCATCAGTGGTATAATATAGTATGTATTGATGACTCATCAGTGGTATAATATAGTATGTATTGATGACTCATCAGTGGTATAATATAGTATGTATTGATGACTCATCAGTGGTATAATATAGTATGTATTGATGACTCATCAGTGGTATAATATAGTATGTATTGATGACTCATCAGTGGTATAATATAGTATGTATTGATGACTCATCAGTGGTATAATATAGTATGTATTGATGACTCATCAGTGGTATAATATAGTATGTATTGATGACTCATCAGTGGTATAATATAGTATGTATTGATGACTCATCAGTGGTATAATATAGTATGTATTGATGACTCATCAGTGGTATAATATAGTATGTATTGATGACTCATCAGTGGTATAATATAGTATGTATTGATGACTCATCAGTGGTATAATATAGTATGTATTGATGACTCATCAGTGGTATAATATAGTATGTATTGATGACTCTTCAATGGTATAATATAGTATGTATTGATGACTCATCAGTGGTATAATATAGTATGTATTGATGACTCATCAGTGGTATAATATAGTATGTATTGATGACTCATCAGTGGTATAATATAGTATGTATTGATGACTCATCAGTGGTATAATATAGTATGTATTGATGACTCATCAGTGGTATAATATAGTATGTATTGATGACTCATCAGTGGTATAATATAGTATGTATTGATGACTCATCAGTGGTATAATATAGTATGTATTGATGACTCTTCAGTGGTATAATATAGTATGTATTGATGACTCATCAGTGGTATAATATAGTATGTATTGATGACTCATCAGTGGTATAATATAGTATGTATTGATGACTCATCAGTGGTATAATATAGTATGTATTGATGACTCATCAGTGGTATAATATAGTATGTATTGATGACTCATCAGTGGTATAATATAGTATGTATTGATGACTCATCAGTGGTATAATATAGTATGTATTGATGACTCATCAATGGTATAATATAGTATGTATTGATGACTCTTCAGTGGTATAATATAGTATGTATTGATGACTCATCAGTGGTATAATATAGTATGTATTGATGACTCATCAGTGGTATAATATAGTATGTATTGATGACTCATCAGTGGTATAATATAGTATGTATTGATGACTCTTCAGTGGTATAATATAGTATGTATTGATGACTCTTCAGTGGTATAATATAGTATGTATTGATGACTCATCAGTGGTATAATATAGTATGTATTGATGACTCATCAGTGGTATAATATAGTATGTATTGATGACTCATCAGTGGTATAATATAGTATGTATTGATGACTCATCAGTGGTATAATATAGTATGTATTGATGACTCATCGGTGGTATAATATAGTATGTATTGATGACTCTTCAGTGGTATAATATAGTATGTCATGTGTGTATACTTCAAGTCATTTCTGAAAGGGTCTTCACTATGCCAGAAGAACATCTTCACTATGCCAGAAGGACATCTTCACTATGCCAGAAGGACATCTTCAATTCTCTAAATTGAAAGATAATTTCACATTTGTGAATTGAATCACTTGCAAGCAGGAAGCCACTCTGGCAATCTTGCAACAGCCATATGGTCATTTGGCAAATGCTTTTATCCAAAAGCGACTTAAAGAACTGTCTCCTTTTATCCAAAAGCGACTTAAAGAACATCTCCTTTTATCCAACAGCTACTTAAAGAACGTCTCCATTAGCAGATATATTCAGTAAAGGTGGCCCATGTGGGAATCAAACCCACAACCCTGCTGTTACTAACCTCCATGCCCTAACCCACTGAGTGGTTGCGCCCCTCCTCTTCCCAGGTTCAGGAGTCTAACCACAGCCTTCTTCAGAGATGCCATGGGCTTCCTGCTCATGTTTGACCTCACCAGCCAACAGAGCTTTCTGAACGTCCGCAACTGGATGAGTAAGTAGTGGTCTAAGTATCCAGTGCCTACACACACACACACACACACACACACACACACACACCCACACCCACACACACACACACACACACACACACACACACACACACAATCCTGAGAGAATATGCCATTTAGCAGACGCTTTTATCCAAAGTGACTAACAGTCATGTGTGCATAAATGTTTTATGTGGATGGCCCCAGCAGGAATCGAACCCACAACCCTTGGCGATGTAAGCTTCCAACTGAGCTACACACGACCACTTTACAAGACCCATATCTTCAAAACACTGGCGTGCTTCAACCTGAATGGTACAGAACGTGGCCATGCCAGGCCAGGGTTGGCCATTCAGTCTATTCACTTTATTCAATTGAATAGAATTACAAAGTTTCCCCCCTTACCTTTACTTAACCAGTCAATTAACAACTCATTCTTATTGACAATGACGGCCTGACATTTGAAAATAAGACATTTTAATTAAGGAGGTATTGGAAGACCAGACAGGTCCTCAGTGGATCAATATGAATCAATACTGTAATCATTGAGGAGGTATTGGAAGACCAGACAGGTCCTCAGTGGATCAATATGAATCAATACTGTAATCATTGAGGAGGTATTGGAAGACCAGACAGGTCCTCAGTGGATCAATATGAATCAATACTGTAATCATTAAGGAGGTATTGGAAGACCAGACAGGTCCTCAGTGGATCAATATGAATCAATACTGTAATCATTAAGGAGGTATTGGAAGACCAGACAGGTCCTCAGTGGATCAATATGAATCAATACTGTAATCATTAAGGAGGTATTGGAAGACCAGACAGGTCCTCAGTGGATGTATGCACTCACTAACTGTAAGTCGCTCTGGATAAGAGTGTCTGCTAAATGACTAAAATGTAAAATGTAAAATGTATCCTGTACTCTAATCATGTTGGCTTTAGATTTAGCACACAGCGCTTCACATGTAATGACTGTAATAACTGTTTAATGTTGTCCCCTGGCCAGCTGGAGGCCAATGTTAACTGTTTCATGTTGTCCCCAGGCCAGCTGCAGGCCAATGTTAACTGTTTCATGTTGTCCCCAGGCCAGCTGCAGGCCAATGTTAACTGTTTCATGTTGTCCCCAGGCCAGCTGCAGGCCAATGTTAACTGTTTCATGTTGTCCCCAGGCCAGCTGCAGGCCAATGTTAACTGTTTCATGTTGTCCCCAGTCCAGCTGCAGGCCAATTTTAACTGTTTCATGTTGTCCCCAGGCCAGCTGCAGGCCAATGTTAACTGTTTCACGTTGTCCCCAGGCCAGCTAATGCCAATGTTAACTGTTTCATGTTGTCCCCAGTCCAGCTGCAGGCCAATGTTAACTGTTTCACGTTGTCCCCAGGCCAGCTAATGCCAATGTTAACTGTTTCATGTTGTCCCCAGGCCAGCTGCAGGCCAATGTTAACTGTTTCATGTTGTCCCCAGTCCAGCTGCAGGCCAATGTTAACTGTTTCATGTTGTCCCCAGTCCAGCTGCAGGCCAATGTTAACTGTTTCACGTTGTCCCCAGGCCAGCTGCAGGCCAATGTTAACTGTTTCATGTTGTCCCCAGGCCAGCTGCAGGCCAATGTTAACTGTTTCATGTTGTCCCCAGGCCAGCTGCAGGCCAATGCTTACTGTGAGAACCCAGACATTGTGTTGGTGGGCAACAAGGCAGACCTGGCGGACCAGAGAGAGGTGCAGGAGAAGCACGCTAAGGAACTAGCCGACAAGTACGGGTGAGTATGCGCACGCAAGCACAAACCCACGGAGAAGAGAGAGCCAGAACCCCCAACAGACCTAATGAGCATTAGGTTAGTCTAACCTCAGAATATCAACAACTGTGGTCTAAAGTAGGGTACAGCTGAGAAAGGGCAACGTGGCTTTTACTGTTGCTGAGGCTGCAGTCATAGTGCTAGTGATGATGGTATTGTCCAGGGGTTTTATTGTTGTCGAGCTCTCACTCTCCATATAATCAGTGATCAATACTTCTACTGAATATGTCTCCTCTGTCGTTTATGAGTGCTGGGCTTGTCATTCAGAGCTCTGTGTTTGTGTGTGTGTGATTGTTTGTTTGTTTGTTTGTTTGTTTGTGTGTGTGTTGTCATTGAGAGCTGTACATAAGGAGACTTTGTGATCTTGATGTAAATGTATTTCCAAAGAGTGACCTGGTTGTTATCTCTTTAGGGTACCCAGGTTTGCCAGTGTAATGTGATATCTCTTTAGGGTACCCAGGTTTGCCAGTGTAATGTGATATCTCTTTAGTGTCACGATCGTTACACGTTGAAGCGGACCAAGGCGCAGCGTGATAAGCGTACATTCTTTATTAAGTACACACACGAACCAAAACAACATTTTACATTTACATTTTAGTCATTTAGCAGACGCTCTTATCCAGAGCGACTTACAGGAGCAATTAGGGTTAAGTGCCTTGCTCAAGGGCACATTTACGTCATTTAGCAGACGCTCTTATCCAGAACGACTCACAAATTGGTGCATTCACCCTATAGCCAGTGGGAAAACCACTTTACAATTTTTTTTTGGGGGGGGTAGAAGGATTACTTTATCCTATCCCAGGTAATCCTTAAAGAGGTGGGGTTTCAAATGTCTCCGGAAGGTGGTGAGTGACTCCGCTGTCCTGGCGTCGTGAGGGAGCTTGTTCCACCATTGGGGTGCCAGAGCAGCGAACAGTTTTGACTGGGCTGAGCGGGAACTATGCTTCCGCAGAGGAAGGGGAGCCAGCAGGCCAGAGGTGGATGAACGCAATGCCCTCGTTTGGGTGTAGGGACTGATCAGAGCCCGAAGGTACAGAGGTGCCGTTCCCCTCACTGCTCCATAGGCAAGCACCATGGTCTTGTAACGGATGCAAGCTTCAACTGGAAGCCAGTGGAGTGTGCGGAGGAGGGGGGGTGACGTGAGAGAACTTGGGAAGGTTGAACACCAGACGGGCTGCGGCATTCTGGATGAGTTGTAGGGGTTTAATGGCACAGGCAGGGAGGCCAGCCAACAGCGAGTTGCAGTAGTCCAGACGGGAGATGACAAGTGCCTGGATTAGGACCTGTGCCGCTTCCTGTGTAAGGCAGGGTCGTACTCTCCGAATGTTGTAGAGCATGAACCTGCAGGAGCGGGTCACCGCCTTGATGTTAGCGGAGAACGACAGGGTGTTGTCCAGGGTCACGCCAAGGCTCTTCGCACTCTGGGAGGAGGACACAACGGAGTTGTCAACCGTGATGGCGAGATCATGGAACGGGCAGTCCTTCCCCGGGAGGAAGAGCAGCTCCGTCTTGCCAGGGTTCAGCTTGAGGTGGTGATCCGTCATCCATACTGATATGTCTGCCAGACATGCAGAGATGCGATTCGCCACCTGGTTATCAGAAGGGGGAAAGGAGAAGATTAGTTGTGTATCGTCAGCGTAGCAATGATAGGAGAGGCCATGTGAGGATATGACAGAGCCAAGTGACTTGGTGTATAGGGAGAAAAGGAGAGGGCCTAGAACTGAGCCCTGGGGGACACCAGTGGTGAGAGCACGTGGTGCGGAGACAGCTTCTCGCCACGCCACTTGGTAGGAGCGACCGGTCAGGTAGGACGCAATCCAGGAGTGAGCCGCGCCGGAGATGCCCAGCTCGGAGAGGGTGGAGAGGAGGATCTGATGGTTCACAGTATCAAAGGCAGCAGACAGGTCTAGAAGGACAAGAGCAGAGGAGAGAGAGTTAGCTTTAGCAGTGCGGAGAGCCTCCGTGACACAGAGAAGAGCAGTCTCAGTTGAATGACCAGTCCTGAAACCTGACTGGTTTGGATCAAGAAGGTCATTCTGAGAGAGATAGCAAGAGAGTTGGCTAAAGACGGCACGCTCAATAGTTTTGGAAAGAAAAGAAAGAAGGGATACTGGTCTGTAGTTGTTGACATCAGTGGGATCGAGTGTTGGTTTTTTGAGAAGGGGAGCGACTCTCGCTCTCTTGAAGAAGGAAGGGACATGGCCAGCGGTCAAGGATGAGTTGATCAGCGAGGTGAGGTAGGGGAGAAGGTCACCGGAGATGGTCTGGAGAAGAGAGGAGGGGATGGGGTCAAGCGGGCAGGTTGTTGGGCGGCCTGCAGTCACAAGTCGCAGGATTTTATCTGGAGAGAGAGGGGAGAAAGAAGTCAAAGCATAGGGTAGGGCAGTGTGAGTAGGACCAGCAGTGTCATTAGACTTAACAAACGAGGATCGGATGTCGTCAACCTTCTTTTCAAAGTGGTTGACGAAGTCATCCACAGAGAGAGAGGAGGGGGGGGGGGATTCAGCAGGGAGGAAAAAGTGGCAAAGAGCTTCCTAGGGTTAGAGGCAGATGCTTGGAATTTAGAGTGGTAGAAAGTGGCCTTAGCAGCAGAAACAGATGAAGAAAATGTAGAGAGGAGGGAGTGAAAAGATGCCAGGTCGGCAGGGAGTTTAGTTTTCTTCCATTTCCGCTCCGCTGCCCGGAGCTCTGTTCTGTGAGCTCGCAATGAGTCATCAAGCCACGGAGCTGGAGGGGAGGACCGAGCCGGCCGGGAGGATAGGGGACACAGAGAGTTAAAGGATGCAGAAAGGGAGGAGAGGAGGGTTGAGGAGGCAGAATCAGGAGATTGGAGGGAGAAGGATTGAGCAGAGGGAAGAGATGATAGGATGGAAGAGGAGAGAGTAGTGGGAGAGAGAGAGCGAAGGTTGCGGCGGCGCATTACCATCTGTGTAGGGGCAGAGTGAGTAGTGTGGGAGGAGAGCGAGAGAGAAAAGGAAACAAAGTAGTGGTCGGAGACATGGAGGGGAGTTGCAGTGAGATTAGTAGAAGAGCAGCATCTAGTAAAGATGAGGTCAAGCGTATTGCCTGCCTTGTGAGTAGGGGGGGACGGTGAGAGGGTGAGGTCAAAAGAGGAGAGGAGTGGAAAGAAGGAGGCAGAGAGAAATGAGTCAAATGTAGACATAGGGAGGTTGAAATCCCCCAAAACTGTGAGGGGTGAGCCATCCTCAGGAAAGGAACTTATCAAGGCGTCAAGCTCATTGATGAACTCTCCAAGGGAACCTGGAGGGCGATAGATGACAAGGATATTAAGCTTAAATGGGCTAGTGACTGTGACAGCATGGAATTCAAATGAGGAGATAGACAGATGGGTTAGGGGAAAAATTGAGAATGTCCACTTGGGAGAGATGAGGATTCCTGTGCCACCACCCCTCTGACCAGATGCTCTCGGGGTATGCGAGAACACATGGTCAGACGAGGAGAGAGCAGTAGGAGTAGCAGTGTTTTCAGTGGTAATCCATGTTTCCGTCAGCGCCAGGAAGTCGAGGGACTGGAGGTTAGCATAGGCTGGGATGAAGTCAGCTTTGTTGGCAGCAGAATGGCAGTTCCAGAGGCTGCCTGAGACCTGGAACTCCAGGTGTGGGGTGCGTGCAGGGACCACCAGGTTAGAGAGGCAGCAGCCACGCGGTGTGGGGCGTTTGTGTAGCCTGTGCAGAGAGGAGAGAACAGGGATAGGCAGAGGCATAGTTGACAGGCTGTAGCAAATGGCTACAATAATGCAGAGGAGATCGGAATGAAATGAGCTAAACATCAGGGAGAGGAGAGAGCAGGGCCCTCTCACCAAAAACTTCTACCTCAGAAACTATAATTGTTTCACTGAACCACCCGAACAAAAACTCTACCAACTTCCACCTTTAGAAATCAGAATTGTTGTGAACCACAGCGGTTCAATGTTTAAAGGAATAGACTCAACCCACTTTATTCAGCTAGCTAACTATGACACCATAGCTAACTAGCATGCTAGCATCCAATAACACACCGTTTAGCACCAACACTTGGTCACAACAAACCACCAATAGTGTGTTAACACACTAAGCAGATAATTCGTGTCCGTGTCTAGTTCCTATCATAACGCAGCAATAATTAAACGTTGGCTAGCTAGCACAAATATATTGTATTTTAGCTACTACAGTACAGTTAGCTGGTCGTGTTGGCTAGCTAGCAATGGCCACTGTGTTGACTTTGTTTGAAGAACGGCTAGCTAGCTAGCTTCGTGCTACCCCCGGCACCGCCGAAAAACAATGCCAACCTACAGTAACTACCCACAACAGCCCACGATGCCTAGCTATGACGCCATAGCTAACTAGCATGCTAGCATCCAATAACACACAGTTTAGCACCAATACTTGGTTACAACAAACTACCAAGAGTGTGTTAACACACTAAACAGATAATTCATGTCCGTGTCTAGTTCCTTTCATAACGCAGCAAAAATTAAACGTTGGCTAGCTGGCACATTAACATTGGAAACAACTCTCCACCGTTGCACTAAACAGATAATTACCAATAAACGTTACCAGTAGCTACCCGCTAGCTAGCCAGCATACCAAGAGTGTGTTAACACACTAAACAGATAATTCATGTCCGTGTCTAGTTCCTTTCATAACGCAGCAAAAATTAAACGTTGGCTAGCTGGCACATTAACATTGGAAACAACTCTCCACCGTTGCACTAAACAGATAATTACCAATAAACGTTACCAGTAGCTACCCGCTAGCTAGCTAGCCTCGTGCTTCGCCGTGCTCCGCCGTAAACAATACTTACCTACAATAATTACCTACGGAAACCTACAATAACTACCTAAATAACTACCTAAATAAACTACCTACAATACCTACTACAACTACCTACCTACGATCTAAATACATGGTTTAAGCTTTACTCAACACCATATGAGAAGCCAAGCTTAACAACAAACGATACGTGAAGTCCTAGGTTATAAACACCAAACCTTTACGGATCAAGATCCCACAAAATACTAGTGCCAAACAGGCTGCCTAAGTATGGTCCCCAATCAGAGTCAACGAGCTACAGCTGCCTCTGATTGGGAACCACCCTGGGCAACATAGATCAAAACGAACTAGAACCAAAAACATAGAAAACAAAACATAGAAAATCCACACCCTGGCTCAACATATAAGAGTCCCCAGAGCCAGGGCGTGACATTTAGAGTACCCAGGTTTGCCAGTGTAATATAATTTGATCATGACAGGACATTATTTTCTCTGAACGCTTTCTCCTTTCTAGTCCCTCTTTTGTTTTGTTTTTCAAATGTTTGTTTATTTTTCTCATTGACTATTAGCTCCACAGATGTTACATACTCTCTGATGTGATCTGGGTTCTCTGTCCTGTCTGATATGGGTTCTCTGTCCTGTCTGATCTGGGTTCTCTGTCCTGTCTGATCTTGGTTCTCTGTCCTATCTGATCTGGGTTCTGTATGTCCTGTCTGATCTGGGTTCTGTTTGTCCCCTGTCGGATCTGGGTTCTGTTTGTCCTTTCTGATATGGATTCTGTATGTCCCCTGTCTGATCTGGATTCTATTTGTCCCCTGTCTCATCTGGGTTCTCTGTCCTGTCTGATCTGGGTTCTCTGTCCTTTCTTATATTGGTCCTCTGTCCGGTCTGATCTGGGTTCTGTATCTCCTGTCTGATCTGGGTTCTGCATGTCCTGTCAGATCTGGGTTTGTATTTGTATTTATTATGGATCCCCATTAGCAACTACTCTTCCTGGGGTCCAGAAAAATTAAGGCAGTTAATACAATTTTAAAACATTAAAATACATTCACAGATTTCACAACACACTGTGTGCCCTCTGGCCCCTACTCCACTACCACATATCTACAGGACAACATCCATGTGTACGTGTGTATAGAGCGTATGTTATCATGTGTATGTGTATGCATGTGTCTGTGCCTGTGTTTGTGTTGCTTCCCTGTTCCATCAGGTGTTTTTTTAATCTGTTTTTTAAATCTAAATGTACTGCTTGTATCAGTTAATTGATGTGGAATAGAGTTCCATGTAGTCTTGGCTCTATGTAGTACTTTGCGCCTCCCATAGTCTGTTCTGGACTTGGGGACTGTGAAGAGACCTCTGGTGGCATGTCTTGTGGGGTATGCATGAGGTGTCCGAGCTGTGTGCCAGTAGTTCAAACAGACAGCTCGGTGCATTCAGCATGTCAACACCTCTCACAAATACAAGTAGTGATGAAGTCAATCTCTCCTCCACTTTGAGCCAGGAGAGATTGACATGCATATTATTAATGTTAGCTCTCTGTCTACATCCAAAGGCCAGCCGTGCTGCCCTGTTCTAAGCCAATTGCAATTTTACTAAGTCCTTTTTTGTGGCACCTGACCACACGACTGAACAGTAGTCCAGGTGCGACAAAACTAGGGCCTGTAGGACCTGCCTTGTTGATAGTGCTGTTAAGAAGGTAGAGCAGCGCTTTATTATGGACATACTTCTCCCCATCTTAGCTACTGTTGTATCAATATGTTTTGACCATGACAGTTTACAATCCAGGGTTACTCCAAGCAGTTTAGTCACCTCAACTTGCTCAATTTCCACATTATTTATTACAAGATTAAGTTGAGGTTTAGGGTTTAGTGAATTTTTTGTCCCAAATACAATGATTTTAGTTTTAGAAATATTTAGGACTAACTTATTCCTTGCCATCCACTCTGAAACTAACTGCAACTCTTTGTTAAGTGTTGCAGTCATTTCAGTCGCTGTAGTAGCTGACATGTATTGTGTTGAGTCATCCACATACATAGACACTCTGGTTTTACTCAAAGCCAGGGGCATGTCATTATTAAAGATTGAAAAAAGTAATGGGCCTAGACAGCTGCCCTGGGGAATTCCTGAATCTACCTGGATTATGTTGCAGAGGCTTCATTAAAGAACACCCTCTGTGTTCTGTTAGACAGGTAACTCTGTATTTACAATATAGCAGGGGGTGTAAAGCCATAACACATACGTTTTTCCAGCAGCAGACTATGATCGATTATGTCAAAAGCCTCACTGAAGTCTAACAAAACAGCTCCTACAATCGTTTTATCATCAATTTCTCTCAGGCAATCATCAGTCATTTGTGTAAGTGCTGTGCTTGTTGAATGTCCTTCCCTATAAGCATGCTGAAAGTCTGTTGTCAATTTGTTTACTGTAAAATAGCATTGTATCTGGTCAAACACCATTTTTTACAAAAGTTTACTACGGGTTGGTAACAGGCTGATTGGTCGGCTATTTGAGCCAGTAAAGGGGGCTTTACTATTCTTAGGTAGGGGAATGACTTTTGCTTCCCTCCAAGCCTGGGGGCACACACTTTCTAGTAGGCTTAAATTGAAAATATGGCAAATAGGAGTGGCAATATCGTCTGCTATTATCCTCAGTAATTTTCCATCCAAGTTGTCAGACCCCAGTGGCTTGTCATTGTTGATAGACAACATTACTTTTTTTCACCTCCTCCACACTCACTTTACGGAATTCAAAATTACAATGCTTGTCTTTCATAATTTGGTCAGATATACTTGGATGTGTAGTGTCAGCGTTTGTTGCTGGCATGTCATGCCTAAATTTGCTAATCTTGCCAATGAAAAAATCCTTGAAGTAGTGTGCAATATCAGTTGGTTTTGTGATAAATGAGCCATCTGATTCAATGAATTAAATTATTAAATGAAATTTTCATCTAAGGTGCTCCAAAGCTTTTTACTATCATTCTTTATGTCATTTATCTTTGTTTCATAGTGTAGTTTATTCTTCTTTTTATTCAGTTTAGTCACATGATTTCTCAATTTGCAGTACGTTTGCCAATCGGTTGTGCAGCCAGACTTATTTGCCATTCCTTTTGCCTCATCCCTCTCAACCATACCATTTTTCAATTCCTCATCAATCCACTGGGATTTAACAGTTTATATAGTCATTTTCTAAATGGGTGCATGCTTATTAGTAACTGGAGTAAGCAATTTCATAAATGTGTCAAGTGCAGCGTCTGGTTGCTCCTCATTACACACCACAGACCAACACATTATTTACAGCAACAACATAGGAATCACTACAAACCTTATTGTATGACCTCTTATACATTATATTAGGCCCAGCCTTTGGAACTTTGGTTTTCCTAGATATGGTTACTATATTGTGATCACTACATCCGATGGATCTGGATACTGCTTTCAAGCAAATTTCTGCAGCATTAGTAAAGATGTGATCAATACATGTTGATTCTTTAATTCCTGTACCGTTTGTAACTACCCTGGTAAGTTTACTGATAACCTGAACCAGGTTGCAGGCACTGGTTACAGTTCGAAGCTTTTTCTTGAGTGGGTAGCTTGATGAAAGACAGTCAATATTTAAATCACCCAGAAAATATACCTCTCTGTTGATATCACATACATTATCAAGCGTTTCACACATTATCCAGATACTGACTGTTAGCACTTGGTGGTCTATAGCAGCTTCCCACCAGAATGGGTTCTGTATGTCTTGTCTGATCTGGGTTCTGTATGTCCTGTCTGATTTGGGTTCTGTATGTCCTGTCTGATCTGGGTTCTGTATGTCCCCTGTCTGATCTGGGTTCTATATGTCCCCTGTCTGATCTGGGTTCTGTATGTCCTGTCTGATCTGGGTTCTGTATGTCCTGTCTGATCTGGGTTCTGTATGTCCTGTCTTATATGGATTCCGTTTGTCCGATGTCTGATATGGGTCCTCTGTCCTGTCTGATCTGGGTTATATATGTCCCCTGTCTTATCTGGGTTCTGTGTGTCCTGTCTTATATGGGTTCTCTGTCCTGTCTGACCTGCCATCTGTATGTCCCCTGTCTGATATGGGTTCTCTGTCCTGTCTGATATGGGTTCTGTATGTCCTGTCTGATCTGGGTTCTCTATGTCCTCTGTAGGATCCCGTACTTTGAGACGTCGGCAGCGACGGGGTCTGAGGTGGACAAGGCGGTCATCACCCTACTAGACCTGGTCATGAAGAGGATGGAGCAGTGTGTCGACAAGCCCACCGCCGAGCCCGCCAACGGGGGAGGAACCACCAAGCTGGAGGACGCTGCGCCTGACCAGAAGAAGTGTGCATGCTAGACCTGGCCCCTCCCACGTCCCCTTCTCCCTACTCTGGTTGGTCCTCTAGTGCGCCCTCTGGTGGCCAGACACAGAAGGGCAGCAGCGTGGCCACAGCATGATGTGTGATGGGGCAGCTCAGTCAGCCACACTGCAATGGGGCTGTGGTTCTGGCCTTGCATGGCCTGTGTGTACTGTGCTGGACCTGGCTAATGTGTCTCTCCTGCCTGTCCTGTGTTGTGTTGTGTTGCGTCCCAAATGTCACCCTGTTCCCTATATAGGGCATTACTTTTGACCAGAGCCCATAGGGTGTGCACTATGTACATTTACCTTGGACATAATGGCCAACACAGCGGGACGAGGTTGAGCTGAGTTCATTATTTCCAAGTTAACGTACAGAACGGAGGCATTTATCCCGCTTATACCACAGTTGCCAAACAATACTAAAGCACACATTTTCTGGTAGAATTTTTTTCATAGATATTTTAATTAATTAAAAGTAAATTCATACTTTTTCATCCTCCCATCAAACCTGATGGTTAGTCTGTTGCCAGGGATGCGACCCAGCTGTTCATTCTTTCTGTTCTATGTCTATTGAACGTTTTTATCCGGTTGCCATGCTGGCTTGCTTGCTAGCTAGACAACTATTTTTAACACAATCACGTCAACCTCTGCAGCCAGAATAACAGCAAAGTAGCTGCATTTGTGTTTGTTTAAGCTGTTTTTTGAAGTGACATTCATTGGATACATCCATAACAGTGAGCTGATGATGCACGACATTGGCATTGAAAAGTTCGCGTTCTCGTCAGGACACTGTTCATTATGAGGAGATCGCATTGCATATTTACATTTGAGTCAATTAGCAGACACTCTTATCCAGAGCGACTTGCAATAGCAGTTAGGGTTAAGTGCCTTGCTCAAGGGCACATTGACACATTTTTTACCTAGTTAGCTCGGGGATTCGAACCAGCGACCTTTCAGTTACTGGCCCAATGCTGTTAACCGCTAGGCTACCTGCCACCCTTATCGAACATATCAAGCACTAGGCTTGAAGCTAGCTAAACAGTTTGTTGCTAGCAAACATGCCAATATGACAACCGAATTCAACAATGTCAGTTGCTGAAAACAGCTGGTCAAAATAGAAAAGTGGGAGGGTTTGACAGCATAGCGCCACTTGCGTCATGATTGCAACATTGAAGGACTGGAGAAATTCATGTTCATCCCATCACTCACCACGTTAGGTCATCAGAGGTCTCTGCAAAATCAAATGAATGCCAGCTAGCTAGTTAGCTAAGTTTTTCCTTGTTGGACCTGCGTTTACAATGTATCCAATATGGGTTTGTGTGGTTGTTGGTTTAGCTTTTCTGTAACTTTGTACCAAGTACAGTCTGCATGTTCAGTGCTTTTATACTGCGTCATGATTAGGTGTCCCGTATATATCTGTCCCAGAGACATCCAACTGTCCTCTGTATTTGTTTTTAAATGCCCATTCTAGAATGCCCTTCTAGCCAATCAGAAAGAAGTATTCTACAGCGCTGTGGTATAAATAGGGATTAGGGTGGCATTTGGGACGAGAGCCCGGCCTACCGGAGGCCTCTGCTTTGTAAGACTTTGTATCCCCATGTTGTTTAGAAGTATCTGTCCAATCTAATCTACTGCCTTGGCTTTTAAGGCCCCATCCTTACAGTACCAATATTATATTAATAAAACATTTGACCAGTTATTTATATATGATTTAGATTTTGTTTTTGTTTTTGTTTATTTAAATTTAAGTTCTTATTCTACAGTTGTTGTTTTTTTATTTTTACTTTTTGTTTTAGATTAGATTATTATTATTATAGTCAATCTACTCCTTTAGATTATGGTTCAACACACTCATTTACAGTAAATGTAATCCCCAAATAACGGTACTTTTTTGACAACAGTGTATAGCTAAATGTGCATAAAAGAGAGTAAAGGTATGATCAACTTTATCATATTGTAAAATCACTCAGTCAATAATGAGATTATACTACTGTCAGGAAAATGCATTGCCAAGCAGTAAATATCTCATTGATGATAACTGCTGTTGGTCTGTTTGTGTGCCAAAATCACCTTCACATTGCCTGTAGTCCAAATCAAATCTAATGTTATTGGTCCCATACACACGTTTAGCCGATGTTATCGCGTGTGTAGCAAAAGGCTTGTGTTCCTAGCTCCAACAGTGCAGTAACATCCAACCAGGTCAGGAGTGTCTGTCCGTCTGTGGCTGTCTGTCCGTCTGTGGCTGTTACCAAGGGCCTTTGACACTCCTAGCTACTAATCTCGTGTGACGGACTTTTAACATCAAATGTAGTGCACCCGATATTTAGTTCTGTGTTCTGAGATTGTGTTCCTACATTTTGCCACATGGACCAGCTTTACAGGCCTAACTCCACGCCTGGCTAATGACAACGCAGTGATAACACACTGCTCCCCAACCTTCTCTTACTCCTGAATGTAACATCCTCAACTTTTCTATAGCAAAAAATAATAACACGATGGTACACAGTGACCAAGACAGGCAGTCAGTGTTAGCTGTTACCGTGTTTTAAGACAAGACAAAGGTCATAATGTAGTGACTGTTCGGTGTATATCTGATGTGGAAGTAGTGTTTAATAAACATACTGTAGGTCATGTTTGACATTAAAAAAGATTATGTGGTGATTTTTAGAACTTGGTGAGAAAATGGTATTCCTTACAATGGAGTTAGGCTACGATTTGAGATTGATCAGGTTATCAGTGGATATTTGTTATCAGAGATGTCTTTATTCAGATCCCATCATGGGTGATTTGTTTTTTTTCCATTTAAACGGAGGGGGATATCCGAGGCTACTTGAATAGTTCACTACTGCAGAGCAACCCTCATCTTCTCTCCTTGATCACTCACATTGGTATTTCCTATTACCAGTAAGAAGCCTCTTCGGTGATCAATGGTGCCAACTTGTATACTGTCCAGGGAATATACTGTATTTCTTAAAACGACAAAATAACAGTGTGTTATCTTTTCACATCATGAATTGAGTCATATTGTGTGAATCTGAACCCCAGAGAAATAGACTGACTCAGTTATATTTACATGGAGAAGCCCAGTACAGTGTCAGGAAGAGCAGCAGTGGTGACTTTGTGACGGTGGTGTTCGTGATGCATGTTCATTTGAATCAGAGGAAAAACTTAATCCGATTTCTCTAATTCAATCGAGTGTGCATTCTAGATTTAGAATCAAAGGCTCTGAGTTGTTGTTAGCCAACCAGCCAAACCAAGACGAGTGCCAAACCAAGACGAGTGCCAAACCAAGACTAGTGCCAAACCCAGACTAGTGCCAAACCAAGACTAGTGCCAAACCAAGACTAGTGCCAAACCAAGACTAGTGCCAAACCAAGCCTAGTGCCAAACCAAGCAACCAAGCCTAGTGCCAAACCAAGCCTAGTGCCAAACCAAGACTAGTGCCAAACCAAGACTAGTGCCAAACCAAGACTAGTGCCAAACCAAAATGTTAACTCTCCTTACTTAACCACTATGGTCTAACTGGTCTACTACTGAAATGATAACACACTATGGTCTAACTGGTCTACTACTGAAATGATAACACACTATGGTCTAACTGGTCTACTACTGAAATGATAACACAATATGGTCTAACGGTGTAATAATGTCTACTACTGAATGATAACCACTAGTCTACTGGTCTAAAATGGTCACTAACTGAAATGATAACACACTATGGTCTAACTGGTCTACTACTGAAATGATAACACACTATGGTCTAACTGGTCTACTACTGAAATGATAACACACTATGGTCTAACTGGTCTACTACTGAAATGATAACACACTATGGTCTAACTGGTCTACTACTGAAATGATTACACACTATGGTCTAACTGGTCTACTACTGAAATGATAACACACTATGGTCTAACTGGTGTACTACTGAAATGATAACACACTATGGTCTAATGGTCTACTACTGAAAGATGATATGGTCCTGGCTACTACTGAAGATAACACCTATGGTCTAACTGGTCTACTACTGAATGATACACACTAGGTCTAACTGGTATACATGATACACTATGGGCTAACTGGTCTACTACTGAATATAACACACTGATTACACACTATGGTCTAATGGTCTTACTACTGAAATGATTAACACACTATGGTCTAACGGTCTATTACTGAATGATAACACACTATGGTCTAACTGGTCTAACTACTGAAATGGTAACACTATGGTCCAACTGGTCTACTATTGAAATTGATAACACAGATGGTCTAACTGCTGTAGTACTGAAATGATTAACACACTATGGTCAACTGGTTTATACTCTGAAATGGATAACCACTATGGTCTACACTGGTTGTACTACTGCAAATGAGAACACCCTATGGTCTACACTGGTTGTATATGACTGACAATGATAAAAACTTGTCTAACGGTGCACTACTGAAATTTGATAACACACTATGGTCTAACTGGTGTACTACTGAATGAAACACACTAGGTATAAATTGGTCTATACTGAAATGATTAACCACTATGGTCTACACTGGTGTCACTACTGAAATGATAAACACACTATGGTCTAAACTGGGTCTACTACTAATTGATACACACTATGGTCTAACTGGTCTACGACTGAAATGATTAACCCACTATGGTTAAACTGGTCTACTATTGAAATGATACGCATGGTCTAAAATGTCTACTACTGAACTGATAAAACAATATGGTCTATGGGGCACTACTTGAAAATGATTAAACACCTATGGTCTCAAAATGGTTGCACTACTTAATTGATAACACACTTTGGTATACCTGATCTATTACTGAAATGATTAACAACTATGGCAAATGGTCGACTAATGAAATAGATACACACTATGGTCTAAACTGGTCTACTACTGAAAGAAACACACTATGGCTAAATGGTGCACTACTTGAAATGATAACACCATATGGTCTAACTGGTGGTTTTGTATACGACTTGATAACACAATGGTCTACTGTTCCACTACTGATAACACTATGGTAATGTTCACTATGAAATGATAACACATATGGTTAATGGTCTGACTACGACATGATAACACCCTATGGTTCTAATGGTGTACTAGAAAGTTACACACTATGGTTAACTGGTCTTCTATATTGATAACTGATAACACATTATGGTCAAAACTGGTCTTACTTACTGAAATTTGATAACACACTTTGGTCTTAAACTGGTGCACTACTAAAATGGATAACACACTATGGTTAATGGTGTACTACTTGAACTGATAACACACTATGGTCTAACTGGTTCATCTACTCCAGATGATAAACACTATGGTCGAACTGGTGTACTACTGAACTGATAACACACTATGGTTAACTGGTTCTTACTACTGAAATGATAACACCAACTATGGTCTAACTGGTCTTGACTCTGAAATGATACCCACTATGGGTCTAAAGGGTATACTATGAAATGATAACACACTATGGTTTCTCACTGTTCTACTACTGAAATGATAACACACTATGGTCTAACTGGTCTACTAATGAAATGATAACACAATATGGTCTAACTG